TTAAATTAGACTAGTTTCAAACAGTTTTAATAGACCTTAGTATGGATTTCTAGTTCAAATGAAGTAGAAAGGTCATTATTCTATATACTACTTTAATAGTACTTCTCTGACTTATATAACTTTACTATAACTTATAAAAGTACTTATATTTAATATATTTTGTTTATAATAAATTTACAAACATAAATAATACTCAGAAGAACTTTCCCTGAGTGTAGAGAGGTTGGGGGAAAATGCTCAATTTTAGCAAACTTAAATATGTATTATACTTATATGTGTATTCTGTATCCTAGTTAGGATTCAATATGTAAATTAACAATAAAGTTATATTCTTCATTTAGAGTAGTTTATAGTATTGTACAATCAGTTTTAGGGCCAGGAAAACTCATATACATGAAATATAGGGAAAACTCACATATTGTGTTGTATCTTGCTCAATTTTTGCTCATTTTACTTTTTTTTTCTGGAATATGAAAGACACTTTAAAAGTATATTTTTTACAACTTAGATCATGTAATTTGGTTAAGTATTAGTTGAGTTATGATAGATTTTGTATTTGAGTGTACTTAGTGTGACGAAAATCACAAATCGCGCGTGTGACAATATTTATGAAAATGACAGTAGTTGCGGAAGAACGTGTGGGTGTCTATGGGTGTGTTATTGGCTGTGTCTATATCGATGCTCGACCCTAAGTTATTCCGGATTCGAAGGTAGATGAGAATATATTATTAACTAATTGTTCTTGCCGTGGATTATTGATCGTGGCAGATGAACAATCAACGTAAGCAAGAGGAATAGGATATCTGATATAAAATGTCAAATATCAAATGAGGAGGTGCCGGCACAGATTTGTCATGATACATCACTCACTATTCATCTGAGGAGAGGTGATGCTCGGTGTTGATGGGAAGTATGGATAGCGGATGAAGTTGTGCTGTACAAGTAGTTGAGGTGTCTTAATATAGTAGCTCCAACGAATCTCGAGCTGTACACTGTACCGTGATATCCAAATCAAGGTAACATCCGAGTTGAGCTCTACGGCAGGCACGGAGAAGTAACTGGGCGCTTATCCACATGCTGAGGATACCAGTACTAGTTACTGGATGATGCACAGGCCGAATCAGTCAGGTTCCCGAGTTGTGCTCAACCGTAGATTATATAGCATGTTCGGCACACTAAACGAACAATCGAGAAACAAGATGATTGCTATTCTTTATTGTAACACATGGGAACGGCAAAATACAATACATTGTATTTAGTGAAGCACAGTATTGTATTGAGATAGTACAATACAATTAGATTGATAGTGACTATAGCAATTTGTAAGTGACTATTGGATACAGTAAGATGTGACAAGGAAGACAAGGTGTATACCAGAACTGTTGCAATGAAGGATGTGATGCAAAATATGATACTTGATGGGTGGCTTGTGTGAAAAGAAGAGGAACAGCGATATCAGATGCAGGGTAGCATTGGATACACAGGAATATAGATCGCAGTTGATGCAAGAAGTGATTCGTATCAAGGTGAGTTGAGAGACGAGAATGCCTAAGAAAGGAAAATGACAAGTTCGGGGTATCGGGTAGGTACCGTGCCCTACGAATACGGATTCTTGATTGTAGCCCAGATAAGTGCACGGTGCCCGCCTATTATCGCAAAATCCCATTATAGTACGATGGGGTAAAACGGATATTATAGACGCTTGCTAAACCAGCTAAATGCGCTTGCACATCGCTGGATCACGGGTGATGGCGATTGCGGCTCCGGAACGAGTAACGTATAGTTCGGAGACTTCTCAGAGTCTTTTAATTTGTTCACATCCAAAGTGGGCTTGTACAAGTCCAAGCCTAGTGTCGAGTATCCGTACCCAACGCCATATGTGCCGCTGGTATTCCCATACTTTGGTGGTTCGTCGGAGGTGGCGACAGCGAAACTTCTTTGCGAAGAAGAAGCGGATACGGATGTGGCGAGCTCCGTTTCGGATTTAGTGAAACGGGTGGCGGCAACTGGAGACGAAGCACACGGGAGGATGGAGATGTCGATAATTTCGTAAGTTGCCAATGAACGAAGGACTCTCGGCCAAGCCATTGGCGCGATTCGAACCGTTCTTAATACTCCGTTTACGCGAACGTTCACAGCGAATGCGATTCGTGAGCGCGGAACATCGCAGAGCTGCGGAAAGACCGATTGGGCATAATTCAACGCTTCCTAATAGAGAATTGCTGTTTTAAAAAAGGATGCCGAGTAGAACAATTCGTTTTGCGTACCTCGAAGTTATGTGCGGGCTGGACATAGACCATGTCCTGGTCAAGACGGTACGTGACCAGCTCGGCAGGTGTCTTCTTTGACTGTGTCTGCTGTGCAGTTTGCTTGGCGGAAGAGCGGGACGTAGGGATTGGAGAACGCCTCGACATCTTAGAACGGTGGGGTATGCTTAACTTGCTCTTTGATGCACGTTTTGTGCGAGTAAAGGGGAGGCTGTTAGTGAAAATGTTACGTCGCCGAAGGCTAGTCCTTTATATCGGAGAGTTCGGCCCAGTTGGCGCCTTTGAAGCATCTTCGCCACATAGCCCTAGCAAAAATAAAGGACCCCGAAAGGCAGAGCTGTGGCCTATATACTTGCATCGGAGTGACTGAGTATCGCATTTCACTGCCCAGAACACAGTGCTGGCCCCTTTCCACGTAACGACGGCGCAAGCTGAGATCTTCGGTATAGTCATATAATCCTAAATGTGGGTGCACAGGAATTTGCACTGCGTTAAAGCGCGGCCATCTGGAAGTGTCCATAGCCCATGAGATGGCTTGATTCTTACTGTGCGTACATGGGAAAGCGCTGGGATGGCCATTCTGATCGCTCAACAAGGTGAGTCATGTTGATCCGTTACGTAGAGTCGTGTAGAAACTTAAGAGCAAGGAAGTCGTTACCTGCATGCCATTGATCACTGCCCCGACAAATTTAGTAACTTTTTAATTATGTAATATTTACATTCTTAGATTTAAGCGCTCACCAGACACTCCCATTGCCCAAACTCAAATGCATTTGCTTCGGTTGGAATGCTATTCCTGCGATCCGGACTGTGCGCCTTTTGGAGAGATGCATATGGTCAAAGCAACTTTGCAGAGCGGTCTGCTCGTTCCTTGTCTTGAGGTGCATGACTCTTGTGCTGCTCGATTTCATCGCCACAAATTCACCTATGTCTGGCGACTATACATATGCACTGTTATTGGAGCGCCATATATTTGTGTTTGCAAAGTTGATACGTATATAATCATATTATTAATCTAAGGACTTTCTATGGAATAGGACAATGTTATGTACAGTAATAATATAATATGTACATAAGTATATTTGTATTATATTCTAAATCATATTCTTATTTACTAATCAGGACCCTGCTTCAGAATATTGTTAAGCATATGATACAAATATGTTTGATTACTATATTCTAATATGTCTGCTGTGTACTTTAAAATTGACAAGTAAAGTTTAGTAACAAGTTCAAGTTCAAGCAAGAGAGTAGTTACTACAGAATAAAGGAAATTGAATTTTGAAAGTAGTAGTAGTTTATTCTTTATAACACAAGTGAATACTACAACCTTTCACAATGCAGTATATTAAAGTCTTATAGACTTATAGAATGCTGAAAGGGGCATGCCTGTATCACGGGTACTGTCCTACTACTTTTGGCACAACAGCAAGCAGCACATCGATGCACTACACGTGATAGGAAGCCGGTCCGCAAGGTGTTACTTAGAACTCCGCTACAAGGCCCACACCTACTTCCATTCATTCAACCTTGTCTTCTCGTTTGCCCTTCGTTTGATATGTTATTGAGCAGGCTGCCTATGTGACATGTCATGGGGTCCGTTTGTCAACAGCAATGTCCCGTAAATATACCAGGACTTGGTGTACTTCAACCTGCAGATGGACTAGCCAAGGCCCGATTGTAAGCCCTTGTGTTCCCTAGCTCTGTCCTCGAAAAGCTCCCAAAATCATGAAAACAGATCTTCTGACTCTCTTGGTACTCATTTCTTTGCGTGTCGCTTTCAGTGCTCCTCTAGGCTTTCCGTCATCAGGGAATGGCCTGTGGTATGATACACCCGGAAATATTTGGGCTCGTCAGTTTTTACCGGTCGGGAATGGATTCCTTGGAGCTATGATTTCCGGAGGCACGACTCAAGAGTCAACTCAATTGAATATTGAAAGTCTTTGGTCTGGCGGTCCGTTTGCCGATCCCGTATGTAGGCTCCTTGACTTTTTTTCAGAAAAAAGTCTAGTTACAATATGTCGCAGGGCTATAATGGTGGGAATAAGCAGCTAGATGAACAATCTGAGATTGGACAAGCTATGCGATCTATCAGGCAAAAGATATTCAAAAGCAAACATGGTACAATCGATAGTATGTGTGGAAGATGAAAGGCTGACTTGATCTGGTCTGACATTGAGTCTATCGTTGATATCCTTAGATGTTGACGCCTTGATGGCTCCAATCGGTGCATATGGTATGTACATGAAGCTTTTGAGTTGCTATTTGATTTGAAATGTGTATAGGCAATTATTCGAGTGCAGGTTTTCTTGTCTCGACGTTAACAAATACACCATCTTCCGCTATTTCGGATTACGCAAGGTTCCTGGACTTGGAAACAGGTGTAGCAAGGACTATTTGGACTCATGGCAATTATCAATTTACACGGTAAGGCATCGCTTGACCATCAACATATTGCCCTACTAATAATCTCGCAGTGAAACGTTTTGCTCATACCCTGCGCAAGCCTGTGCACAGAATACCTCGTCCACGAATCCTTCCGGATTCTCGCAGACATATGCACTTGGTGCCATTATAGGGTTGCCTCCGCCCAACGTCACCTGTGCCGATAACTCAACTCTGCGTTCGAGTGGACTCGTTTCGAACCCTGGGATGGCTTATGAGATTCTGGCTACTGTTTCCGTTTCACCAGGTGGGATAATTGAATGTAACACAGTCCCGAATGTGAATCATACGAGAAAAGCCTCGAACGCGACGTTAACCATCTCTAACGCCACCTCGATGTCCATTATGTGGGTTGGAGGGACGAACTATGATGCAGGCGCCGGTGACGCAGCTCATAGCTTTTCGTTTCGTGGATCGGACCCCCATGAAGGGCTTTCTTCACTGCTGATCAGCGCGTCAGAGAAGTCTTATTCGGAATTTGTTGCCGAGCATATTTCAGACTTCAAGTCAGCCTTAAATCCAAGTTTCTCTCTAAATCTTGGGCAGAATATCAACTTAAAGGTGCCGACAGACAAGTTAAAGGATGTCTATAGGGTTGATAAGGGAGACCCGTATCTAGAATGGCTACTCTTTAACTATGGAAGGTATCTCCTTGTAAGTTCAGCACGTGGAGCGTTGCCTGCGAACCTACAAGGGAAATGGGCTCGTGATGCAGGCAATCCCTGGAGTGCAGACTACCGTGAGTTGGTGTCCTTTCAGACGGTAAGTTGGTGCTAATTTCCGTGTTGGACGAAGACGTGAACATAAATCTGCAAATGAATTATTGGTTCGCCGAATCTACAAATCTGGACGTCACGAAATCTCTTTTTGATTTCATCGAGGTTCGTATTTATGGATCGATGTCTTAATTAACAAGCAGTTCATATTTATACGTATAGGAAACGTGGGTCTCGCGCGGTACCTATACTGCGCAGGTTTTGTATAATAGTACTCAGGGTTGGGTTCTGCACAATGAAGTAGGCAAATATCTCGGATGGAAATGCCGCGTTAACATGTCGATACATTTGCTTCTCAGATAAATGTGGGTACGTTCAACACTGTACCGGGTCTTGGATCTGACATCTATAAGATCTTTGGACACACGGGCATGAAACAAGGTGATGCAGAGTGGGCAGACTATCCTGGTATGTTTGCAGTCGTCTGGTCAATGAGCTATATACCTTTGACCATGCCATTTTGGATAGAATCCAATGCATGGATGGTAAAGTCGTTACGACCGTCCTCCAATCAGTTTGTTGAGACACTGTCTAGATGATTCATGTTTGGGACCACTTTGACTTCACGAATGACGTTGCATGGTGGAAAGCTCAAGGATACCCTTTGGTGAAAGTAATGCATTTCTATTTCTCAGAAAGAGAGTGTCATTCATGGTCTGCAGGGCGCTGCCTCCTTTCACCTCAACAAGCTTATACCTGACGAGCGGTTCAAGGATGGCACATTAGTAGTAGCACCTTGCAATTCACCTGAACAACCACCGATCACACTAGCTTGTGCTCATGCTCAACAGGTTATATGGCAGCTCTTCAACGCAGTAGAGAAGGGTGCTGCAGCTGCGGGCGAAACAGATGAAGCATTTTTAAATGGTGGGAGACAGTAATTGTTTCGTTTCTAATGGCTTGCTTCTCATGATTGCGACAGAGATCAAATCCAAGAAAGGTCGTATGGATAAAGGCATTCATATTGGTTCGTGGGGCCAGCTACAAGGTACTATTCCTTCGAGTTTTGACGATTCACATCAAATTATACTTATGATTACTTGACTAGAATGGAAGGTGGACATGGACTCGCCGACGGACACTCATCGTCACATGTCGCATCTTGTTGGCTTGTACCCGGGCTACGCTATTTCAAACTATAATCCTGACATCCAGGGCCTCAAATATTCTGTTGCTGACGTCCGTGCCGCCGCTCGGACGAGTTTGATTCACCGTGGAAACGGCACGGGTCCAGATGCTGATTCTGGCTGGGAGAAAGTCTGGCGTGCAGCTTGCTGGGCTCAATTCGCGGACCCGGACAAATTTTATCACGAGCTAACTGTGCGCCGACACTATCCTCACTACTCCGAACATGCAAAATCTGACCAGTTATTCCGCTTAGTACGCCGTCGACAGAAACTTCGCTGCGAACTTATTCAGCATCTACAACCCATTCGACCCAGATCCAATTTTCCAGATTGATGCTAATTTTGGGTATACTGCTGCGGTGATGGTTCGTTGTCTTTCTATCACGGCTGGAAGTGGTATTGAATTAGCAACTGACTTCATGGACGACCTACGCAACTTAGAACGCACTTATCCAAGCACCAGATGTTGCGAGTACTACAATACCTCTCACGATTACCCTACTCCCAGCTCTTCCATCGGCTTGGTCCACAGGCTCGATCTCAGGTGCCCGGGTCCGCGGTGGAATCACTGTAGACATGGCTTGGGTGGACGCAAAACCTACGAAGGCCGTGCTTACCATTGCTGAAGGAGCTCCTTCAAGACCAGTCCACGTCATACATGCCGGTCAGGAGAAGTTGAGCTTTAATACGACCGGAGCCGAGTGGACGTACACAATTACTGGGTTCTAGGAAGTGGTAGGATTCGTTGCAGGACTGAATGGCCTCCATGATCACTGTAAACAGGAAGAGAGGTAACTATCAAAGGTGATGTAAATAAACTGCCGATGTAAAAGAGGTGTCTTTAAAAGTGCTTTCAATGCGTGAAATTCCTGAAGTTAACTTGCTTGATATTCAAACCTGGTTGATTTCGGGGTGGAACCCTATGTCGCTCAGCTGCGTTGTCGTTTATCACCACCACATAATCTGTGCTGTATGGGCATGGTGGTGAATTGATGGAACTTAGCCTGGATTCTCGTATGTCTTATCGGTTTCTATCTTTGGTTCACCGACAATGGAGTATGCAGTCGGTTGATCATTCTATCTCATGTCAGTTTGCAAGTGACTACTGAAGATGTAATTACTTCGACTATTGTACACTGTACATCATTAACCTAGCATTATCTATCTATATCCCTTTTCATGATACCTCTCCTATCCGTGTATTTCTGTCAGTAAAAGGGCAGCAAGCTAAAACTACTGAGAGTACAGACCGCTTGCAGCATTTTCTTTCGCTCGGCTCTGACCAGACATGGATCCTGTACCTTCGGGTTGTACACTAGCGGCTTGCTCTTCCCTACCCTTGTCCGTCGGATGTGCTTGCGGATTCTCCGTCAAACCAGGCTCGTCTGTCCTTTCCGTGCGAGTTTTCTTCGAATCGTTCCCTTCTTCTTCCTCCTTATCATCTTTACTCTTGCTGTCACCACCAGCGGTATTGAAAGGATCCGCGTTGCTCCCCTGTCGATTCTTTCAGTAACTAATTGCGCAAAGGATTATGGCGAATCATACCTCATCCAACTGCTTGCGCTTCAGCTCGCCGGTCATGCGTTCTTTCCCTGTCTTTTTCAACTCGGGGTCGTGCTTTATCGTTCCTTTAATCTCTTCGCGCACGCCTTGCAATCGCTCACCAATAGTCTGTCCGTCCGACCAGATATAAAATTGTCAGCATTCCACCTGCGGGAGCAATAAGTAAATGAAAGTACGTACGACTCCATGCATTTTCCAGTACTCGGGTCCACGTCCTTCCAGTTTTCCGGCGTGCAGCTGTTTAGGGTATCCGCCTTCAGGTCCTGCGCCTGTGTCACTGCATGCGCCAGTACCTGAACCGCGAGCAGCTCCACCCTCTTCTTCAGCAGGTCGTTCACTACCAGTTCCGGTGTTTTGACCATCAACAAAGTTCTTCTGACCACTTCGACTCTGGCTTGAATTTAACGTCTGACTCGGAGCAGGCGACTGTCCTTGACCAGATACATTCTGGCCACTTCCAACGTCGGCTCTCGATGCGCCGGCGGCTGCGACTACCCCATGGGTCTCCGGTACGGGACTTTGCACGCCTGCAGAAGAATTTGCGGATGCGCCTGGAGCAGACACATCTCTAGTACCATACGGATGGGGAGAGTTCTTTGTTTGAGAGTCTTGTGTCGCTGATGACATAGTCTTAGTTCAGTGGCTGCACACTGGTGAAGGCGCTGTGTTGCAAATTGGTGGTGGATAGCATGTTCAAGTAAATATGGTATACTTATATATTGCGGAGGGACTATGACGCGGATGGAGCATAGGGTGTGACGTAGACTAGCTGTTCTATCTTTGGAACGCTGGATGCCGTTTCGTGCCGAGATCGACTCAGGGTTGTACTAGTAACACTGTTGAATTCATACAAACTTGTAAGCCTATCGCTGACGCAAGAAGTCTCCGCATATATTGGCAACACTGCAAAGTTCACCGAAAGTAAGAATTATCAGCGTATAATAAGGCATAGCGAACTACTGAGCGCATGGAGATCATCTTTAGACTTTGGGCCGTCATCAGTTGATGACAAGACTATATGCAGACCTGTGTGTATGAGTAGTTGCAATAAGTTCATCTGTAGGTCATATATAACGGAATAAATTGGAACGTACGTCGTCAGTGTCCCACTTCCTGAGGTCGGTTCTGTTCCAGCTTGAGCAGTCTTCAGATACTGAGAAGTTGCAACTCCTTGCTCGGATGTCAAGTACTGGATCACGAAGTCGGTCATATGAACAGAGTTATGGAAGGACAAGAGACGCACCGTGAAGAAGTCATTGATATCACCACTGAAACTGGTGACCGTATTACCTGAGCTCGGGAGGAACGAGTACACGTTGTTCGCGCCGTTTGAACCGAAATAGAGATTCCTGCATTCATCGACGAATAAACGTGATACTCCTCATGAAAGGGAAATAAAGAACGATCGCACCAAGTCTGTCCAGCTATACTCAAACCGGATGCGACAGGCGTTGGCTTTCCATCTGCTCCGTATGTCGCCGAAATTGAGCCTGCATTATAATTCGCAAGCCAAATCATGATCTCGTTGACGTTCGCACCATCAAGCGAACTTGCTGTGAATAGATCGTACGCGACGTCTGCAACAGCACCACTGGAGATATCGTATGACCACTTCCAAGTTGATGGCATGCTCTTGATAGCACTGAGCTGCACACCAACACCATCGTTCTGTTGGATGTTCGAGAAGGTCTTAACGCCATTGCCTCCAGACCACGTCCAGTTCGTCTTCCATGCGATCATCGATTCTGAGAGTGATGTAATCTGAGCGCATTGCGAACCCGTCGCGCCACTAATGCCCCATTGATCGAGGAAAAGTTCGTATGAGCCCGCAGTCACTGTATCCCATTGACCACAGTGCGAGGTCATGTCAACTTGCCTGCGCTCAAGGACTGGAGACGCAAGTGCAAAGGGCAGGAGCACAAGTAAAGCAGCGAAAGTGAGTTTCATGGCCAAAGACAAGTATTTGACTTGATATGTGCCAAAGTTGAAGATCAAACAGACGCCCGGCTTGACTGGATTTATACCACAGGCTCAAAACCTCGGGCCCGACAGGCGCAGTCGAGGAAATTAGTCGTTACACGTAGCATTCTTCTTCTGATGTCCGCATCGTCATTTCTTCAGACTCAGAAGCAGCACGGGTATCCAGGTCTTCATATTGAGCTCCATATTTTTCCGAGATCGCTATTGGTTTTGGGATGGAAGCGCAGCCGCGACCTGGCTGCGAAAAACTCGAGACCTATGAGACAGGATGCGGGATTTTCCCGACGGCCCGCCAGATGCGCAGAAATGTAAATCACTTGCGAGTGCCTAGTCCGCGTCATTCCATCAAGCACTAAGTACAAGATCGTGCACCATATTCACACAGCGGCATGTTGAGGGCGGTTTGTATCTGTTTCATCGAACAGGACGTTACCATCACGATATAAGTACATGTGATAGTTAAAGTCGGATGAGATGACCTTGAGGGGACAGAAGTAAGCCAAACCCTCCTTCTTCGTGGCAGCCAACGGTCCGCTTAACATGGTTGCCCTACTTGCAAGAGCACGAGGCTGCAAAGTGTAAACTTCAAGAACCAAGAGAGAATAGCGACGTGCATGAGGCTCAATACAGAAGCAAACACATTTTAGTTAGCTCCAATTGGCCACATGTAGTTCCTCTCACATTTCACTAAGTCAAAATAAAGTACTTTTCCTAAGAAAATAAATATTCCCCTCCCCCAATCCTAACTAAAACCCAACTTAACACCTAAGCCTAACAGCCCAAACTTATCCTAAACCTAATTGGGGTGGCAGAGCCCCCCCAAACCCCCCTCCTAACTTCTCACTCTGTTCATGACAAGGGCCACAGTATGCTAGAATTACATAAGTGGTCAGTCAGGGTCATCCCTAATTGGGCCGTGGGATTCAGGGCCCGGATGCGAAAAGTCAAGAGTCCTGCCCCATGTGGTTAACCTCACGTGGGAAACCCTCTGGGGCAGTTTCCACTCGTATACTAGAGATCCCACAGTAGCCACGTTATTCGTCGGCCCAAAATGGTTTGCTTCCACATTGTCCTCTGCAACGCCCGTAACACTGCTTTATGCAACAGAGGATGGCTCAGTGGCTTCATCCATTTGTTTTGCGGGTTAACAATGCACTAATCTCGGAGTCCATGGGCCGTGGGACTCAGGGCCCGGATGCGAAAAGTATGCGACTATGGGGCAGTTTCCAACATGTGGTTTTGGTTACCAACATTATGTAATATTTAAAAAAAGTAATTATTTTGTAATCAAGTCGCGTTAAAAGTGTAAAACTCGCATATTTGCAGATATTAGAGGCCGTTAGTGAAATTTACAATGAATTTAAGTCAAACAGAGTGATTAAGACAAGAAAAAACTGGAGCACGACATTGCTGGGATACTCTAACGCATACTTCTGCAACACTCCTACAACAGCTTCAAGTCCTGGGCCTCTTTCTTTTAGCTGAATTCCTTCCTGACGACCTGACGGACAGAAAATGACTTCCAGCCTACGGTTCACTGCACCATCGGTACCGTAATCTTCTTTTTCGTTGTCTTCAAGATCGAAATTTTTGAAATTATAGAATTGATTGGAAAGCGGCAGGGTATCTGGCAGAGTCAACAGACAGTTATAAAGCTCTTGGAGCTTTATCTCTATCTCCTCAGCAGTGAGAACTCGTACGCTCATGTTTGTGTGCTTCAATGCACGCAACTGAATTTTTTTTGCTCTTGTGCTTGTATGCACGACCCTTACATTATATTACTATTTTTAGTTAACCACATGCATTTTATGCCACCTCGAGGATAACCCCGTGGGAAATCAACGTGGTTATCCTCCGTGTGGCTTACTGGCCGGTTTCCACTCGTACACTAGGGATCTCCAGCTGACTACTTAAGTAATTACTTTCCAACTTTAAAACCTCTTTTGTTTAATTTAAGAGATTGGCAAGACATTATTTGCAAATTTATCGAAGAATATCTAGGTCGCTGCCTCTATCTTTGGAACCCACCTGAGGCAAGCGAATCAGGCAGGGCATGTTCCCCGACTCCACATCCTCTTGTTTGTGCAGAAGCCGCATCCCCATCCACACTGATCACAATCTCACCACCACCAACGACGTCTTCGAACGAAAGCCAGCATAGACTCTCATGCGGCTGTCCATTAACTGTTACATTCGTCACATACAGCTTTGCACCGGAGGGTGGGCTGGCTGACACAGAGGCTGGGTCAAATCCCGAGACAGTGAACTCTGTAGAGGTTCCAAGCAGGTCGTTATGAATTATGAAGCCGGAGACGAGTGGGGAGTTCAAGAGGAGCTGCCTTGATGATGGAACTGGATATAACCCCAGAATGTGGAATGCAAGGAGCGCACCCATTGCGCCACTGTCATCATTACCTGGAATCTAAACAATCGTGTTTTGTCGCTAATAAATCCATATGTTCGCCGAGTTGAAATAAACGGAAACGCACCCCTCCAATCCCTGTATTGAAGTTATCAAATACTACGCTCCTCATTCTGAGTGCAGAAAGATCGGGTCTGTTCGCGTAGTGGAAAGCTAAGGGCATCGAGAACGAGGGTTCGTTCCCTGCTAAGAAATAACCTTTGGTAAAATAGTGAGTCGTTCTGTTGACGAACGCATCGTCCCCGCCCATTAAATCGACAATCGACGACATCGAGTGGGGTGCGAAGAAGCTGTATTCCCATGACGACGCTAAACATGTATCCCTCAATCCACTTATTCATGCAGGACACAAACGTAGATACAAACATTCATAGAACCCAACGTTGTTATCCGTTCCCCGGGCACAGGAATGACCGACAGTGTCAATCGGAGAGCAAGCGACGGGATCGCTGAAGGCAAATGTTCCGTTCTGTAGTGCACACACATATTGACATAAGCAGTATGGTCATGTTGAGAAAGGAGATAACTGACTGGAAATCGGCGCTGCATGAATCCTATAAAGCTGTCGCTTGTGACGTTCGGATGCCAATGATTCAGAAAATTCATTGATCTATTCTCATACTTGGCGATATCGCTCGTGGATTTGTTCAGAGCAATCCCCGCCTGACGGACTGCGAAGTCGCCTACTGCATACTAATGCCCGGCATAGTGAGTAGTGGGTTTTATATGCTCCCTAATTAAAACGAGACAAACCTCCAGCGCTCGGGAGACTTCACGAGTAGGGAGGCCAGTTGAACCCGATGGGTCAGTCCAGTCCGTTGGTATGTATCCAAAGGTCTTCCATGCCGTGTTTTGACGACCAACTAAACAATCGTGCTGAGAATCAATCGTACCACACAGATAGACTACCTACCCATGTACCAATCAGGCGGCTACAACCGTACGAATCAGCAATCAACACGACTCGGGGAACATAAAGAAATACCGTGTTCTCAGCGGTATCAACCAGGGCTTGATAGAGGTCATCGGTAGGTACTCCAAGCTCGGATGCACGTGTGTTATATTTGACAGCGAAATCACCTAGAATTGGCATCCCATCGCTTCCGCCTTGAACATAACCCCTATAAAAATAAAGAGTCGAGAAAAGACAGGCAATTGTGACAAACATACTTTTTCGTGTTGTCCCGGCATTCCGGTATGTACCCTACGCACGAAACGAACCGTCATCAGTTGTTGTCAAACTATTCGGAGATAGAGACACTCGCCGGTGTTACGCCAACCATCTACATAAGCATTGACGATCTCTGCCCATTCTCGAGGTGACGTGATGGATAACAGAGGATGGACAGTCCTAAAGGTGTCCCATGAACTAAAACCAATTCCAGCATCAGGATCAAGGCCAGACTACACCTGCGAAAAGACAAGCTTCACCAAAACAGTGCGTCATAAAATGGATACGGTGAATCCCAATACGGATTCTCGTCAGTAAGATTAGCGGGAACGAGTTGCGAGCGATATAGCTAAGAGTCAACGTCAGACTCTCCAGCTGTACCTTGAAGCAAAGAGAGGAGAATAAAGACACACAGAGGAGTATAGGAGCTCAACAACTTCAACATCCTCCTTTTTCGTATCAATCTCGATCCGACTTAGGACGTCCTCCCACTTGGCTACAGATGCATTCTGCACTATGTCCCAATCCCAGTCTGGGATCTCTGCTTCCGCGTTCGAGCATGCCTGGTCGGTGCTGATGAATGACACACCGAATCGTGCAAGAATCGTTCGTTGCGTCACGGGAGATGGAGTCGTAAAGGCAAGAAGAGCGCCAGCTTCAATGCCTAATGGCGAACTAGAACCTGCAAAGGATATAGTTCCGGTATCTTCCACGATGGTAACATTGGTCTTGTTACTGGAACTGACGGATTGGTACGTTCCGAATTGAACGAAGGATTGATTAGTGCCGATCCCACTCGGAGGCGTGAAATCATAACACCCAAATGCAGTGTAGTTGTCCGTCCCGTAACTCTTCCAATAAAGAAAACAAGCAAAGTCGGTCGTACACAGATCCACTCAATGTAATTGTGATAAATGCTACATACCTGAAGGTACGTGCCCTTGAGCGTTACCCTGCCCGAGTCGGCATCAATATCGAGGTTTCCGCCTTCGAACGACCTTTGAAGGTCATTTGCCAGATCAACTACAACGAATGTGCCATTCAAGTCCGCCGGGTAGGTGAACTTGATCAAACCAGCCTGGCGCGTCGACGTCGCCTCTAGTTTGATTCCGTTCTCGAACGCAGATGTGAAATAACCCGGTGATGCCTCTTTAGAATGACACGACTTCCGTCAGCGATGCTCTGCAAAAGAGCATATGATTAGCTCACTATCAGCATTCGCAGCTCTTAATGCCTTTCTCGAGTCCAGCGCGACGGGGCACGCGTCAAAAGTACAATTAGTCAACGGGAAGAGCGGGAAGATCCCATATCCCCCTGCTGTATTCCCGCCCGTTCCCTCATCATGCATCAGCGAAATGCCTTCCACCGGCAATAGTTCGACGTCAGTCGGTATCTCCATAACACTAAAAATGTCCACAAAACATACCAGTGACAGGCGAATCATCAGCGATATACCCCGCTTGCCTCGGTGTCGTGTCAACATCGATGCCAACCTATCTCATCTGCTTCAGCATCTCAACAGTCCTTGGCCTAGGAAAACGGAGCCAACACTCTCAATTGAAGCAGACATACCTTCACCATAGCATGTGGAACCGCCGCACCAGGAAACGCATTTCCGCCACTCCCGCCATTCGCCCCAGATGCTGTCCCGATGAACAAATTGACTAAGTCGGTATAGGTTGTTGCACCGAAAACATCACCAGAAGATAAGAGTAAGAGAAACAGTGAAGCGAGCGTGGTGTTGAGTCTGGGTCCGAGCCCGTAGCCAGCGTTCTGCTTCATTGTTCGAGAGGCTACACGCAGGACGTCTGGAGCCCTGGCACGCGAACCAACTGTAGACAGACCGAGGAACGTGAAGTGCAGTTCACGCGTGAACTGTATTGCATCGGCTCCTGCTTAAGTGCACTTTGCAAAAGCCGAGCCGCACGCGTTCCCTGGTGATAGCCATTTCAGACGAGTCGGCTAACATCGACTGATGATGCGCTCGGTAGTGAGCACACCTGATCATTGCAACATGTGGTACACGGACACACGTTTGGAAGAGGTGCCTTGCGGGCCGTTTAATGTCTTCACAGCGCTTTATCATGCGCTGTCACTACCTGCAGTCATTGAACGAGGAGCAAAGTGATTGAAATTGGACTATATTATATATGTATTATTATTACAGACAAGATCATTAATCATCACAGCATGGCCCACGTGCTGCCTACGACGAAACAATGTTTTCGAAAACGAACAATCTGACTGTATTACTTCCTTCCATCACGCAAAATTCGTGCTGCTTGAATTACAAATGCAGGTAAAATATCAAAACGACTGTGTTATATCCGTTCCTCAGAAGCAATGTTAATGATAATGAAAAAAGAATGCCAACCCGTGCAACCGGCAAGTCCAGAATACGCATGTCGCGTGATATCGCATTAGTTATATATGGTACGTAGAAAGGAAATATCAAAGAAAACCAGCAATGCAGTCTATCGCCCTGCAAGATGGGATGAAGCGGATGAGGGTAATAAAAAAGGATAGGGAGAGTTGAATGAAAGACATGGCAAGGTATAGAACTAGGTATTTTATGTATGAAGCGAGGCAATTGGCGGTAGAAAAAATTCGACGAATTGATCAACGAACTGGTGAAGAGTTTGCGGAAGAGTTCGCTGAAGACGACCGGCGTCGCGAAATGTATGGCCTGATATTTCCCCCGAGCGATTGAACATTGGCAGGAGACATAGGCGATGTGACATCGATGATACTGTCCTCAGGAATTGGGCTGGGACTACCCTTGATTGCGCTCTCTGTCAGCCTCGGAGACGTACTAACCGGACTTGCAACAGAGGAGGACGAACGGGACCGACGCAGGTACGGGCGTGGAGGAGGCTTGTTTTGTTCGTGCGGGCTTGTAGGGGAGAGTAGCTTCTCTGGGGCTTCGGAGGGCGTTAGGGGCGATGCTGGAAGTGGCGGGAGTTCCATCCCGAATTCATCCACGTTCAACGCACGTGGTGGTGGTCGTTGTACCTCGGCTTCAAGGAGCTGATTATAGCATTCAAATGGGTCATCAAATTTAGTGTTGGAAGCCATGGCACGAAAACATACCTCAATGCGAAGTTCCTCTCCATCATACTCGCCTTCCATCTCGTCGGGACCAAGGAGTATATTTCCCTTCCTAAATACCTCGCCTTCTTCCTCTACCATCACTTTCGATCTGCAAGAAAAATATTTAATAAGGTATTGGAATAACATACGTTCGAGAAACACACAGGTCAACCGGTGATGGTCCGTCGAGTCCCATCACCTCATCTTCCTCAAACTCAGTCTTCTTTTGCTCGTCTTCTTCATCGTCCGAGCTGGACAGCACGAAGCTCGGGCTCAACACCTTCTCAAATACTTCTGGCTCTGGTGCCGCGCGTCCCTTGCCTTTATCCACCTTCGGCGTCTCCAGTACCTCGTCCGGCTCAGTCCCACTTTCGCTCTCATCAGCCTCACTCGGACGCTCCACCGGAATGTGAAGTCGTAGGCCATTGAGTTTGACGTCGATTTTTGGTTGTGCCTGTTCAAAAGGTGGAGGGGCGTCTTCAGTCTCAAATTGTCCGTTCTCGGGGTGCACAATGAGGCCGAGGCCGGTGCCAGTATCGGTACTTGCCTGTGGACTGGTAATATCATGGCCGTTCGCTACTGGTGGTGTTCCTTTGCCTACTCGGACTTCGTCGACACGTGTAAGCGCGATTGTGATGCTATCGTTGAGATAAAAGAGTTCCTCAATGCGGATTGGGTCTGCAGTACTCTGGATGACGTCGGCTAGAGCGACAAGCGCAGCTTTGGAACGTTCAACAAGCTCCACAGATTTATTGTCATATACTTCTGGAGATGCCTGAAGATGGAGAACAAGGGCCTCCAGCTGGGTCAGACAATCCTTGGCCTGTGAAACGAGCTCATCGTCCACCTAAAATAGATACGTGAATTTCAGTGATACTTGAAAAATCCAATAAAACCTCTCACCTTCTTTTCATCGCCCTTCTTGAAAGTCTTCGCTAGCTCACTCTCTTCAATCATGCCCCACACACCCTTACCCATACCGCGTCCAGAACCTGCTGTCTGCGAGGTACGTTCCGCTTCCTCCGTATTACGGATGCAGGTGTTCAATATATCCCTACACATGCTGAATTACTCTCAGAATTTTCCGATCCTTGCTGAAGACAGTAATACGCACCGAGCAAATTCTTCATCGTCCGGCGGAATATTCAAGTCAAGACAACGCATTGTATGGTTCGCCTTCAAGCCGCCGCTCAGAGCCATGACTGCCGCTAAATCGAGGCTGTTCAACGTCAGGTCAAGGTGCAGTAATGATGCTGACTCTGGAAGGAACTCGGCTAATGCGATTGCTCCGGCGGATGTCAGTGACGTCGAAGCCAGAAACAGACGTTTCAACGAAGTGTTCAATGTGAACGCCGTCCTGAGTGACTGGATCTGCTGATCGTTTCAACAACTGCCCGGCTAAAAGGACAAGAAACACTCACTCCGTCAAGTGCAGGACCCGAACATGGATTCCGTCCCATGTCAAGGGTCTCTAAAGTCAAATTGTATTTCTACATCAAAAAAACATTTGTGTGTAAATCGATGTTCCTTGATGTTTCCAAAAATAGCTCACCAGCGCTTCTGCAATGGCAACAAGCCCTTGCACATCGATCTTATTTTCACTAAGGTTTAAAACTTTGAGTGTTCGGTTCCGCTTCAAGACCTGTGCGATGTATTGTATCCCAGCCTTTGTAAGAACGTATCAATTAGGATGCGTTCCCCTGAGGCTCGTAAATACTCACCCTAATATCATTACCTCGCAAGTCGAGCGTCCGCAATTCTCCTAACCGTGGAAGTGCGTCCAGAGCGCGTACCTTATCTAAGAGTGCCGCACTCGGTCCATTCGTCTTCGCGTGATCCCTCGGCTGTTGCACACTTGCATTCGACTCTGATCCTGGGGGATGTCGGGTCGTTATTCCACCCTGTGCGGAACTCGTGATGATTGGGACTTGCTGTCCCGATGCATTAAGTGGATTCGGAGCCCGCGTGGCGTGCTGCAGAGCTCGTGCACCAGCAGTCGCCCCTGTAGCCAATGCAGCGGCGCGTTTTGCTCGTGGGATGTACGGAGTGTAGGTCGTCTGGACAGGTGCGTTTGCAGGATGTATCGGCGGGGGAGGAATCGGTCCCTGTCTTGTGGGAGGAGGTAAGGGCGAGTTTGAACGTGGGGAGGAAGGCGACTGCTGTGAAGTCAGCTGGGTTGGCGTGAGAGGTGGTGTTTCATTACTAGGAGTGCTGGGAGGGGAAAGAGTGCTGAAGAGGTGGTTAGAATTAATGTTCGAGGAAGAAATAGCTGTCAAGGAGTTGGTTTGGGTCGCATGAGCAGGCATCGTGTCTGGATAGTCTTTGATCATGAGGGCAAGTGCAACTGCCCCAGACGCAGAAATGCGATTGTGTCGGAGAGAAATGTTGCGGAGGGACGACGTTCGGACATTCTGGGCTGTTGCAAGCATAAGCCAAGATGCACTCTTATAAATCCAGGAATCATACCCAGGGTCTCTAGTGATGCCGGTCGTAACGAACAATCATCCATTCGCAGTGATACCAAGCCAGGTTCACCTGCTGGTTTTAGAGCAGCACCTACACACTCAACCGATTTTTTGTCGAGGAAGTTTTGCGACAGATCTAAGAACTGCAGGTTCTTTGCTTTCTGCACAAATGCGCCAATCAGTCTAAAAGCTGGTGCCTTCAGACGCCTATTTGAGGCAATGGATAAGAAATTAAGCGTCCCAGGGATGAGCAGCGCATGTAGGATAGGTTTGAGATTCTTAGGAGAGTGACATTAGTTAATAATAAGTACTGTGAATACCGAACACAAACATGCTCATCGAGATCACATTCTTTCAGGAATAATTTGCGAAGTCCCCATTCGACAGAGAAAACGTCAGACAAAGTTGCTGCCTGACCTGGTGTTATTTGAACACCGGAAAGATCGAGTGAACGGCCTTGTGCTCCGGACGCTTTCTGCAAAGGGAAACATGTTAGCTGGATCTGCCTGTCGATAACCTATCACATGCGCGATGCAAATGAACCGATAGCGTGAAATAGACTCTCAGACCATCAATAGTTGTCCGACGACAAAGCGTATGTGCCAGAGATGCCATGCAGATCTTGCGTAATGCTAAAATTGCGACGACGTGTGCTCACCTTTAGTGCGGCAGAGATGCCCGGGTGGGGCTGTTCCTCGCGGCCGGTGCAGCACTCCTTATAGAAGGACTCAACCCTGTCCGTAGACCACCATTCGTCGGTCTCGGAACTGCCGGGGCTGTATGAGTTGCCGCGGACGATTCGTCGACGCCGCTCAGCCTCGCGTGCTTCGATGGAGCGTTTCTCCTCCCTCGTGGTCAGGCTGCATGGCGGATTTGCGGCAGAGATTGGATAGACGGTTGCGAGATGGGGGAGAAAGAAATGAGCACGCTTGAGGTTCTCATCTGGATCGCTGGGTGCACCAGACGCGGTGTTCTGGGACGGAAGAAGACGCGAGAGGCGGGAGAGAAAGGACTGCTGTGGCGGAGGGGCCTTCTTAAGGATGGACTTTCCTGGGCGAGGCAGGGTGACCGCTGATGAGGATGCGGAAGGCGAGCTGCAGGACGGGGAAGCCATGCGAGCTGCAGCAGCTACAGACACATGAAGGCAGAGAGATGTCGCATCATCATCAAGCTTTCTCAATCAAAAACACGTCACGTGTGCTCGCGACGACAGATGCCAGTCAATGTGATTCCCGAATGCAGAAGAATAACGCGCAGAAACAGAGCATGTTAACGGCAACTGTGGCAAACTCAAAGAGCTGCTATCACATTGTTTCTATATCCAATACACAGTTTCAAAGCAATCCATAAACACAATAAAGCTCGACTTCAATCCTTGACTTGTACTGCCCTGTCAAAAATTGACCTTCGACACAGTCTCATAGAACATGCTCCCCTGTATCTTTGCCAGCTCAAGTTCAAGCGCCGACGGCCAACGTTCTCCCTTGCTTCCAGAAAACGTACCCGCTCCCCAGGGCGATCCACCGTGCACCTCCTCAATGTTTGCCAACTGTTGGCTCGCGTGTTTATAACCGAGCGGGACGAAAATTATGCCATGGTGCACCAACGTCGAGATCGAGTTTGAGACAGTTATCTCCTGTCCGCCTCCTGGACCGCCTGTTCCGACGAAGATACCCGCGTATTTGCCAGAGAGCGCACCTTCATGGAAAATTCCTCCAGATGCATCCCAGAATGCCTGGAAGTGAAGCAGTCAGACAAATGTTTCGTGGACATTACGCGCTCGACTGGGGGGGGGGGGGGGATGGGAGGACTTGCCTTCCACTGGGCTGGAAAGTTTCCGAAACGCGTTGGGATGCCAAAGAGGAACGCATCGTATTCTCTCATGTTCTCGGGCGTTATGACTGGGTACGGAGGCTTCTCAAGTGCATGCATTTTCTTCAAGACGTCTTCTGGCAACGTCTCTGGGATCCTTTGACAAGCTATTGGTGAGCATCAATGACACGGGATACAGTTGTACTTACTGTAGTATCTTTGCATTCCCGCCTGCGGAATTTACACCAGCGTGGATGGACTCGGCCACTATCAGGGAATGAGCAAGAGGACGGACAAGCATAGACAAACGCGCAACTCACTCTTGGCAATATGTCCGTGCATCGAGTATATGACGATTGCAACTCTGGGAGCCATTCTTCGCGTATTTCGTCTCAAGAGCTTTGTACTGAGTTATACGAGAGGACTATGGCATGTTGAATCGCGATCATCCTCCTTTTATACTCAAACAGATATCGGCCAGATCAACTCTCGAAATTATTTGTCCTTAGATGCTTTAATGACACACATCTACAGCATCATCAAGAATCCTCACGACGCGCAAAAGAAGCTCCGTGGCGATGTATCCTTTGGAGGAAGAGAACCGAGAGATCGACGCAAGGAAAGTTGCGCCCGCATTATTCAGCTCGACTTCGTTATCAAGCCTCCGTTTCGGAGCCAATACCTCTTGATAAGCTTCAGCAAGCGTCCCCAGGGTGGTCGGTAGACTACAAGTCAGCCATTCTGTCACATGTGAGCACAGCCCTCTAGCTGACGTATTGATTTGTGAGCAATCAATGACCAAACCATAGTGCTTCCCTAACCCATTTCATAAACGAATCTGACAGACATGGCGTAGTACTATACGACACGCTGCGGGTACATCTGTGAATGCCGAGCACCTTGCTAGCTTCTGCTGTGTAAGAGGTGAACTGAGAAGATTATTTATCTTTGACTTTCTTTATTCGTGTTTAAACAATAAGAATATCTAGTCATATGAGGTAATGTGAATGGATGAGATGCAAGTTAATATAACAGGATAGTGAGGAGTGCTACACATACTAATCCATGGGAATCTAATATTTAAAGCCTGATCGACTTTATTAACAACATTTATTCATTTTCAAGGGCCTAGGTCCTGTAAGTAATACTTGGCATTCTGTACCCTACATCCATGCTATATTACCTACTAGTGTCCTTTGCAACCACGACTTGTATGTAGGTGAACAATTTTATATCACGCCATTATTCAAAATGACTGGACCCCAATACATGGGTCTTGTTCTACCAGTTAAGATGGTAGAGAGCTGGACCGTTGGACGCAGAGGCAAGTGTGAGATCAAGAGAACACAATACGGGTATGAACGATGTCAGGACGCTCAAGATCCCACATTATCAATATACGATTTTGAGTGTCTAATGAGACTATGGAAACCAGCAAAGAGGAGCGTGCTCGACTGGTCTGACATCTACCAGCAGATAGTCCTTCCTGTTACCCTTAGCTTTGATCCCCAGAAGCAAGCTTGCGTATGAACAATTTCACTGGTTTGTTGTGCGCATTCATTTAGGAATTTCGAGTCTAACGAAGTACAGAGCATGCAAGGAAATACCATAAAGTGAACGGTCAAAATACATGAGTGTCAAAGTCGGATTGTCCATTTAGTCCATCCTTCCCTTCAGTGTGCGAGTAATGACTTTGTCTTGAGTACTATTTATCGAGAAGATTAAGTTAGTCATGAATATTTATACAGAAAGCACGGTTCACGTACATGACATGCACAACAGCGCCCCATCCAGAGAAGGCGTCTCGATCAACCGCATTAAGCAACGTCTGGCTGATCGTCTCAAACAAGTCCTCGGGCTCCAGATCAGGTTCCCACAGACCCTCCGCCACACCAAACAGTTTATCACTCGCGGTCCCGACCACGACAAAATCCTTTGCAAAATTTAGGCACCCAATAACATCTGCTGCTGCAATGTATGGTTGCGCTTTTCCGTTCGGCGCAGTTCCCATGCCGGCGATGACTGGTTCAACGAAGTAGTTCCCAAAGCGCTTTTCATACAGTGTCGAGGAGACAAGCCTCGCAAACGTCTCGGGTGAGATGTCTCGCTCTTCCTTAATCGTGTACATATTTACGCGATAGCGGAATCGTTCCCGTCTACAGTAAAGAAGTAGCTCATCCATCAGCACAAGAAGGCTTTTGGATAAGAACGAATCCGACACACAATGTTGCAACATCAGTCGCAAGTCCGGCCAAACCAAGATATATTCGATCCGTCACAGGGAAGACCTGTGAGTTCGCATCAAAATGGGACACATTATATATAGCAGGAGTCTTGAGTACCTTTTCGTGATTGCAGGCGACAGTCAAAGCTTGCATCCCAAGACGGAGGTCTGAAGCAATAGCAACGCAATCCTTGCCGACCATAGCCACTACCGAACCACCATTATATTGCATAGCCTTAATTCACGCATGAGAAGAGGCCATAATCAGTAAGTTTGAAACCCACCATGGTCACAGATCGTTGTCTATTCGAGCAATCAACAGGAATGACAGAGAGAGAGAGAGCGAGTAGTAGTACTGAACGCGTAACTTTCGGGTGACGCGTACTGTTGTTGCATACACGTGACCATCCACTCAGAAGCAACTTGAGTTGGCGTACATACTACATAGTATTACTAGTAGTAGTAAATACCACAGTAATGTGAGTGTTGCATAATGCATAGTATCGGGAGCCTCCCAAGTGCATTATCACAGACAATTGAAGCAGGCAATCCCAATTTTGTTATAGAAAGCCTTAATGCATTATGACATGTTTTACCGTAGCATTAAGGTGCATATCGATTTCCCACTCCTTCAAACCCAACAATACTCATTTCAATACCCAACAGCATTAATGGATTATCTCAAGTATCCGAAGGGAAAAAGGCGGGGAAGCACGTCTTTGGCTGTCCTGCCCATTATGAAGTATATCAACTAAATTCCTTCCAACCAACTGGACCTCAGTTTCTAAGCGACGGAACTACCTGAAGGTCGCGCTTCTCTTTCCTTGTATACTGGAGGAACATCCATTAAATCTTCTGCATCCTCATGCTGCACGACGCGCTGCACTCGGCCATTCTCCTCCTCTCTAGCCATCATTCTCTCCTTTGCAGTCATAGATCGGGCTATTATGCTGTCTGCCGCCTGCAAACTTCCACACGGCGTGACGTCGACAGGACGAGAATTTTGTCCAACCGAGAAAGATTCCTGAGTCATGTAGTCGATGCTTCCCTCCTGTGAGGAGATATTTGCTCCGCTAAAAGCTGTCGCGCTGCGCGACGGATGTTGGCTTTGAACCATCGGTGTCTCAGACGTCTCCGAAGGCGGTACGATCGTTGATTCCGGGTGGGGTGAGACGTACGAATGTGTCGCCGCAAATTCCCTTACCATCTGTTGATCAGTCTCCGGAGGCAACACGTAAGGCGATAAATCATCGTAGTCGAGTAAGCCAACCTTGCGGTTCGTCGCGGACAGGCGATTATCCTTCCGACGTTTTATGTAGAAGTACGCTGCCACGCTGACCGCGAGCAGCAGGAGAATGATGCCGCCAACGATGCCACCGATAATTGGTGCCTTGTTTGACGATGCTCCGGAGCCGGACGCAATCCCACTTGATTCCTTTCCAGGACACGATACGTCAGTTGAGCCAACGGAGCTTATGAGGTTTGTCCCTATTGCCCATTGCCCGTTCCTAAAAACCGCTCGTCAATGACTGGAAGGGACACGACATAATTTGACCCACACGTCGGAAGCAGCGACTAAGGGCACTGTCAGTCGAGCATTTCGAAGAGACTTTACTATAGGCTTACCTATGAAAGAATCTCCAGGTGTATCCTGATTCAAGTACTTGAACTCGTCGTTTTCTGTTCCGAGAGTGAAATTTGTGAAGTTCAATCCTAGAACGGATACTGTGTACGGCTTCACACCCCCAGTAATCGCTAAAGTCAGATCATCGCACGTTGCAACTTGTGTCTTGTCTGCAGCAACTCGGATGTCTGAAGTGATCTGTGTTGAATGGCAGTTTACGGAGTTTCCACCTATGTACGTCTGTCAAAGTTCGCCATCGCACATAATTACCCGGGGATTCATTACTTATCACTTCTGCGAACATGTAGTCGCTAACGTTTCGTGCTGCGTCTTGTATGAACGATATGAGTTGCGTTCCTACACAATTATATCAGAGGATTGTCCTTGGCGGTCGCAAATTGTGTTGCACGCACCCTGTGAATGTCGTACGGTCCAGGTCAGGTTTTGAGCGTCTGAGCCCAAGAAATCTGACCTAGCGATGCCCCCCAACTCAAAAGAGAACATGTAAAAGGGAGGCACAACATCAGACGGTATTGATTTCCCGTCAAGTGTGGTTAGTTGGAAATGCATAGATTCACATTCGGAAAGCGCGTCAGTCTATGAAGCGGCCCGTTGACCCTATTAATTTGCTAAGGGAAAAGGCCTCGTAAAACAACACACCGTTATGTTCGTGAAACTAAATGACCTCTGCTGCTGCGCAAGGGCAAGCGATAGAGAAATAGCAAGAACGAACAGAAGTGTAGAGGAGAGAATCATGGATATGGACTGGTCAGGCGCTAGAGAGAAAGGGAGCTCAACGCAGTTGGCTTGAGGCTTGACGTTTGGGGTGGTTGGAATCACTTTTCAAAGTACTAGTGCGGCAAGTCTCTTCATTATAAAAAGCACAAGGTTTCAGGGGAAGTGATGTGGTCTTGGTTACAGGACACGGTGAACAGATCTGATCGAAGCAAGGATAATTACAGAGCTCGAGATCACTCTCTTTGTAGCAGCGAGACAGCAGCCGGAAGTTGTTCTATACCGTAGATGCCTCAGAAGTACAGACCGATGCCATCAATATTTACCCATTAAAGACGAAGACGGTGTGATGACAGAGTGATGGTCCGTGATGTCCAGCTTCAGAAGGCGGGCGTAGCGAAAGAGCCGGATACTGTGCGAAATTCGTCGTATGAAGCGTGCCTTTCCAGCCCCGGCCCTAAAAGGTTAGCAAAGTTGCTTGTAGTGTTAGGCACCGGGTTAAACGAAAGGGTTGGTTGGCCACATCGTTAGATCAAGAACCGTGCTAGACAATGTAAGATAACAGTGTTTCTGTGCGAAATCTTGATGTAAACTGCGGCGAACTTGCATCAGCGTCCATTCCACTCCAATAAGCAGATAATACACATGAACATATATGAGTAAGAAGGGGGACAAAGGAGAACTACTGATAAAATAGAGCGTCCTCAACACAGAGAGCTAAATCGCACCGAGCTGAACTCCTGCCCTACCAGTGCTCCCACCCAGTACAACACCACTCCCATCTCCAAAGAAATCAATACCGGCTCGAACAAAGAAGAATTAAAAATAGGATATGTGATTGCATCAGCAACTGATGAAGCCATTCGTGTGGACGGAGTAGGCGACATTCCTGTAGACACGTCACTTGGTAGCCTTGACGATGGGTACAATTATGATAACAAGAATTATGACGATGGCGATGCCAATAATGATGCGCATCTACAAGGACATGGTTATGAGAAATCAGATAGATAAACGGTTTGACACAAACCTTCATGTCCTTCCACCTAATATGGGTAAGACATGTGAAAAAACTTGCCTACGAATAATAAGATATATACATACCACATATTCTGGTTGAGACCAAAGTCAGATTAAGGGGAAAGATGAAATATAGAGCGAGAATTCTCACCTTCCGCACTCTATTCGCACCTTTCCGGAAACCCTGAGCTGAAACGGCCAGGTTATCTACACAACAAAATCAGGTATCAGGAACGAACTTCGGCCTTTGCAGAAAGAAAGCCATGCTGGAACTACACGGCTAATGGACTCAGTGGAAGTGACGCACCGGTCTTGTCCTGCAAGTGCCGCAGATTTTCCTCTCGTAGACGGACTTCGTCGATGTTTTCCTGCATGATGCCTTGCGCTTGACTCAGTTCATTCTTCAAGCGGTCAATCTTCGCATTTCCGGCCCCGCCGCTAGGCGCATCGCCGGCATCGTTGCTGCCTCCCGCTTTGGGCATGGGTGGATCGTATCTGCTTAGAAAGGGGCCAACCCAACGTCAGTCGGGTACGTGCAACGCAACGTGGATGCCTCGCAAACAGGCGCCACTTTACCTGTCTGATACGGTCGAGGGGATGAGCAGTTCAGACAATGATTCACATCGACTGAAAACTGGCGTGTACTCACAGTTGTCCATGTCGGGGGTCGCTGGTGGTGTGAGTGAGGAATGTGAATGGAGGCTGTTAGTGTTACAACGACGACAGCGACCGTGACCATTGCCGCAGCTCAGCGCCTTCCTAATCCGAACATTCTCTGCTGACTCATCTTTGCTTACGAGGTGAACCATTGCGTAATGCGTTATTCCCTGCCGTCTACTTCGCGGATAGCAATTACATTCACTCTCTCAGCAGTAACTAATGACACGGTTATGAGCACGACGTGTGGTCTATATGTACTACTGTTCGGCTTTTGCATCTAGTACTAAGCATTCCTCTGAATCCCGATACGATGTAAAGAGAAATTTTTAATAATAAAAAAAGCAAAACAACTACAATATAGATCAAGGGAAGAGAAGAATATACATCTGTGCCAGTGGACAAAGCTGAACATTTTGATTGCTGCATGCTTATCCCATTGAGATACTAGTATTGTTCTTCGGAGTACAAATAATACCGTATGCTGAATTTTCTTAATCCAAAGTCATTTTCGACGTGCACGTTCGTATTTTTTTCAGCTCACATATTAACTGTCTTTAAGTTTGTCTGAGGTTGGCGCGGAGAGGAGTCGAACGAACGACGCACGTGCACAGCCGCAGCCGGCTATCTCTTCAGGGGGAATATCGGCGACGACGTCCAACGACACTTCGAGACAGCCACCAAGGTGAGTAGTTGTTTTTCTGCCTGTTGACAGTTCAGGGGTTTGCTAGGGCATATGTTTGGTGCATTGGGGATGGACTGGGACACTAAGGAACGAGGTTTGAGACGGATGGAGAGGTCATGAGGCGGATGACATGCACCAAAGATGATTGGCAACCTCGGACTGGACTCAACCTCCAGCATTGTTTGGTTCGCAGCTGACGAGCCTTTCCTTTATCCTGTTGTGCATACCATTCGCTGGTGACAGATGGTGCGTGCCTACCAGTATTTGATTTACTTTAGTATGGCTAACACGATCGTCTCACTTGTCTTCTGGATATGTAGAAAGTCGAAATCGACTCGTTCTCGGGTTACAAAATCTACCCTAGCAAGGGCCGCTTGTTTGTTCGCGCAGATAGTAAGGTGCATACAACTCATTAATTCCAAATATTTTGTACACTTATGACCAAAAATTCCAATTGCAAAGGTCTTTCGATTTTCTAGGAGCAAGACCGAATCACTCTTCCTTCAGCGGAAGAATCCTCGCAAGATTGCATGGACGCAGGTTTATCGTCGCATGCACAAGAAGGGGTTGTCTGAGGAGACTACGAAACGTCGCACACGCCGCACAGTAAAACACCAAGGAGGCATCGTCGGGGCGAACATCCAAAAGCTCCTCAGCCAGTCTGCTGCCGATCGCGAGAAACTTCGGAAACAAGCTATTGCAAAGGCAAAGGCGGACAAGAAGGAGAAGGAAGCAAAGAAGGACAAGACAAAGGTGTGCCTCAGATACTACCTATTGCTCGGAAGTATGGACTGACCGTGCGGTTGTAGGTACGACCCAATGTCCCCACCGCTCCTAAGGTGTCGAAGCAGCAAATGAAGGGAGGTAGAAGTGGTCGTTGAAGTTTCCGGCCTGCTCAGTTTCTTTACCTCAGTATATATCATCATGCGAGTTATGCAGCTTCAGTAGGCAATGCTTAACATGTTTCATCCTCAGGAGTGAAGGTTGGAACATGCCGCCATGTCACTCGAGCTTTTCCGTATGACCATTTCAACTTATGCTGTTGTATCTGCTTGCAGCTTTTGAACCAAATCATCGCCCTACGGACACGATTCGCAAGACTCTCATTTCTGGCGAATCAAAACTAATTTAATGTTTCTAAAGGAGGAACGGCTCCCGGTTACTGTCGTGCAGTCAGAACTGATGTTCCTCTTGGCTATCCGGATTCATGTTTACCGTATTTCTTGCTTTGGTCTCGGCTATAATAAACCTCAAGGAGGGCACAACGCTAAGGAGTGGGAACGGTACAGCATGCTAATGGATAAACTCAATGCTCTCATCCATTTATAAGAAATATTATTGAGCACATTGCAACTGAGAGGCATGCCGTACAAACTCCTCGTTGACGGTTGATCCAACAGCGGGCAGTACCCCATGCGCTAATGATTCTTGTGCGACTGGTTCCCCGCTTCTCATGGTCGTCGTTCAGACATTATTCGTTAATGTAGTGCCCTGGCAAGTACGCATGGTTCCCACTATCTTGGCGGTCAAATTACGGTTGGTTTATGCTAATTGATTCATCTTCTAGTTCCGGCCCATTCCCTCGATTGACTTCCGCATCGTATTCATCCTACAGCCACCGAGCTCCCAATGTTCTGGATAAGTGAATCAGGCTTTAAGTGTGGACGACATGCGAAACGGCCCAAACACCGTGTTACTGGTGAGTGTCAACTTCTTCCGCCTCGTATCCGGCCGCTATATCTAGGACGAGTTGAGCGTACAGGTTCCATTTCTCCGATATTTGATCTTGCACATTGGCGAGCCCGATTAGTACATAGTGCCCTGTGATGCTGGGAAAGATGAAGTACGGTGTGTGAAGGGAACTGATGAATGCTCTGTGGCTTCCTGAATCCTAACCCAATTCAATAGACATCGTCGGATTGTGTTTTCTAGGCGGACCGTTTAAACCCGCTCAGACTGTCTTCTGTCTTGCGAATATGTGGATATGATACACTGTCAGGATCGGGCATTCTAGGGTGGATCGAACCTGCCGCCTCGACGTATCCAAATTTTCGGGCACATGTACAGCTGATGATTCACCGCATGAGTAAGAGGAACCACGAGAAGCACAGGGGTGACTCATAGGCCACACGGAAGCATTTTCCTCCGTACCCCTATCTCTCTCCATCAATTCATTAGCGGACCTAGTTTTGCAGCCGATAATCTACACGAGGCACAAAGCCTATCTGCGAGAGGCCTCGGATCGCGGCCCATTGTGCAAGGATGAATTCGCTTTTCGCGTCATTTATTGCATAATCCGGTCCGAAAACAACTTGAACGATGAGGATTGGAAAGATAACAAATATAAGTGCAGGGCAGACATGAATTTGTCTCGACGTGGCGGATGTAGAGCTAATTTCGCCTCGATAGATACGTATATTTGCACGAGTGTGTGTTGCCCAACCTTGTATGAGACATAGGAGTTGATCATGAGACGATGAGACGAAAGTCCGACTTGCGACTCCGTGGAAGCTTTGAAAATTCTAACTCTGTAGATTCGGCTGAACTGTAAAGGATTGAGCATAGACCTTCACAGTCATTCTAGAGTCAGGAACTTGGCAAGGACTTCAGAATCAGTGCCGGGCGAGCTACCAGCCTGCTGTAATACGGCATGCTGAGCCTTGTATTGGGGTTTCGAGTGAATTTGGATAATAACTCTGTTCAACCAGATGATTCTGGTCTTGAAGAAGCAATGAGAAGCGAAGTCACGCTCGAGGATCACGGAATACAAAGGCTGGCTTGCGACGGCGTCGGAGAAGCTAAGACGGCACTGGATATGCACACCGACCTGCGATCAACCTGTACGTCCCGGACTCAATAGCATTGTCTATCTGCACCATGATCATTACTAATTTAGATAGACAGGGGAATTTACATGCCATCACCTGCCAACATAAGTCATATTGGCTTCGTTCACTCATCCGAACACCGGACTGAATGCACGGGAGATCATATTGGCGCCTTCTGGATTCACACTTAGCGCCTGTCTTTATGTCGGGAATGAGAGTGAAAGGAGCGGGTATTTTATTTTCACTCGGGCTCAAATATTTATCAATCGCGTACTTGAGAGAGAAAATTATCGCATGTGTACAGGGTAAGAAATGACAAACGTGCATGCAAAATGAGCAAAATGTCCGGGTGCAGCAAGCATCCAGTCGGAATTGATGCCGGATTCACCTCTCACCGTATAACCAAGTGCCTGGACTCTGGTTGACAGAAACGCAATCGTCTACAAGCGCGAACAGCGCGGATTGTTTCAATAATCAAAGAGATGCAGACCCGCGTAAAGGACATCTGGAGAAAACGCAGCTCCTTTTGACACTGAGAATAAAATTCAGCTGTGTTTATCCGTCAGACAAGATAATAAAGGAGCACCGCAGATCCTCCTAGGCTCCGAAGCACGTTTATCTTCTGGTAGAAGTTGTTCATCTTAATCAGGGTTCTATTGAAGCTAATAGCGTCGTTTCAGCATAAAAATAAAATAGAGGAGATATCCTTTCACGACTCAACGTCGGTCAGAAGGTTAGAGCGTAAGGCAACAGGGAGAGCAATTTACTAGAAGGAGGAGACGTGAGGAGAAGATTTCAAGATGTTGCGAAGACAAAGGACCAGGTGCGGGACGTTAAAATGAGAACGAAAAGCCAGAAGCTGAACACGCATTGGGTTTCTGGTGCGGGCGGAACTAATACATGCTCGGGAAAGTGGAAAAGTTGAACCAGTTTTATCAAGAGCACATCAACAGGAGTTGTTCATATGACTGCTATAAGAATGGCCGACGCGAACCTTATAAGTATGTCTGCCAATCGTCGTTTCGCGGTACGGAATCTGGCATAAATTCTAGCAGCCAGCAAGACACTACGCAATTGGAGGATAAGAGTCTCATAAGTGCCGTAATTTCTGTCATATGTAGGCGAGCGACGTAGCACTTAGGTGCTTGCGCATCACCTTAGGTACAAGATGGAAGTCAGTCCGGAGCATTACTCAGTATTTTACTATTTACTGTCCTAAATAAGAGCAGCGGTGACTCATCGCTTATATAATCAATCTTTGTTTGCGTCATTCTGACTCATTCAGTGCGGTCCGCTTTCAGCACTTGCTGTATCGGCAAAGGTTTGGGATAGTACTGGACTAAACTCGCTGGGTATTGTACTGATATTGTCGCAAGAGAGTACTGGACTGCTCTCTGACGTCTCAGAACGGGTTTACATCATGTTACGCGATGAGACGAGTTAGTATCGTTCAAACCCGGAGACACCTCAACATTGCTTGGTGCATGTCCGACTGAAGGCAAAGTCCTCTTGTTTTAAAGTCCTGGATAGGGGGGCGTCATTGCTCCAAATCCCTACGTTCACCACTGAGCTCTTTCTTGGTCAGCATGGAATCCCACCTGTCTTCTTCTAGTACCATCGGTGACGCGCCTCCTCTTGACTCTCACAACACCGACACTAGTACTAAACCGTTCACTTCATTGGTCACGCATGCTGACTTAACTGCTCTTGTTGAAGCCGAGTTACTTTCCTTTGCTGGAACTATTATGAGATGATTAGTTCATCAACAGACGAACCATGAGACGATGACTTCATAATGTCTCAGTTAGAATACATACAATATAAGGACGAGAGACACTGAGCAATCAATTGTCACCTCACCCCTTGTCTATGTGTGCCCCCCTTAAGTTCTCCCTCTCAACAGGTTATGAGTCTTGAGCTCCCTGCATACATGCATCCACTGTACACTCTAAACTCTTTACTTGTATACATTCACACACATTTGCATCATGGTTCCCCCATGTATGGATACACACTGTAAACCAGCTAATGTACCTAAATACTTTGGTCAAAACATTACAATGCTTAAGACTGAAGCGAACTACAAGATGTAGCACTACTGCATTGTTTCTAGTGTTACAGCTATGTGCTTCAAACACTTACTAAAGGATGAACTACAGAACAAAGCTGAGAGGGAGATAGCTAAGGCCATTCATGCATGTATAGTCAATAACATTGCTAACACAATATTGGCAAACTATATACACTTTGATATGTCTATCCCTCAGTTAATGAAAGTGCTTGAAGAATGCTTTAACCCTCAGACAGTATGTAAAAAGGCTATCAACAAATCAGCACTGTTTATTTGTAAAGACCATGTAAAACATTTCAGACATACATTAGACAGACTTGAGGAAGCATACACAACTCTGTCTGCTAACAGTGATCCACCATACAACTCTACATACAAAGCAGCAATATTGCTTGCCACTCCTGAGCAATATACACACATAGTAAATATGATAATACAATCTACTGATGCCCAAAACAAAGGCAAACCAGTTAATGAACATAAGAAAGTTGAACTGAAGCAACTAATCCTTACATTGTAGAATGCCTACAATGATTACTGTGCTAAACAAGCACAAGATTCTAATGATTGGACAAAGAATAATGCACACATTAATACAATGTATAAAGCCAATAAGTAGAGGAAATTCAATCTGCCAAATCTGTTCAATCTGACAAAAGCAAAATGTTTCAATTGTAGAAAAACAGGACATTTCTCTAAGGAATGCTGCAAACCTCCTACTGAAGCTACAAAGCTTGCATGCACCAAACATCAGGCTAACATTACACATAAAATGAATCAAACTGTGGAAAACACAACAAACACATTTATTATTGAAAACCCAAACGAAAACAATGTTGAATTAAAAGAAGGCAATGTTGAAATGAACAATAACACCTATGCTCTTATTCCAAGCAACCAGGACAAACAATTCAAACAATATGTTTCCTGAGTATGTACTAACATATTTACAAATACAATCATAGCTAACAAGAAATCCTATATACAAATGATGGATTTACTTGATTCCAGTACATCAATATATACTACTCCTTATCTATTTCGATTAACAGATGTACACAACATAACTCCTACAATTGTAACTATTGCAAATAGGTCAACAATGACTCTTAATCAAGCTGGATCTATGTGTATCGAAATCCTGAAGAATATACAAGAAAAAAGTGTCATAACATTACAAAACATCTATTACTATCTACAAATGACCTTTTCCCTCATAAGTCAAGCACTACTATGTAGGGAAGGTTATTCTTTTATGTTTACAAACAATAATTGTACTATAACATCACTATGTAACAAATACATCAGACATATACAATTGAGAAATAACTTGTATATTTTGTACAATAATCATTTATTAAAAACAATGAACAAACTATCTATTTATGATATACATAAATGCCTCAGACACATAAGTTACAATTATATTAAACAATTATTAAAGACACAACCAAGTGTACTATCAACTAAAATAACAAACTATGAAGAAAAAGAATGTATTAAATGTATAAAAGCAAATATCAAACGTACACCAATACTAAAACTACATTAATCTCCTCTTGCAAATCAATTTGGAGATCTTATTCATATTGATATCATTGGTCCTATTGAACCACACACATATAAGAACATATGCTACTTATTAACAATTGTAGACAATTCTACTCGTTGGTACATAATGCTCAAATTACAAACAAAATCCAATGCATATACACAATACATATGATAGACAACTAAAATATTTACACAGTACAGAGTTAAAATAAAACTTTTACAAAGTGATAATGATACTGTATTCCTTTAGTGAAGATTTCCAACATATTTAGATTCACAGGGAACAAAACAAAGATT